AACTTTTTTACTATTGGTGGAAATGCATGAAAGAAATATGGTATAATCCATTCCTGTGGTGGACTAACAATCACAGTAAAGGCCAAGCATACCAAACAAGGCCTGAGGTTTATTTCTTTATTTTTTTCTCAAGGTTTATTTATTTTTATCTTGAGGTTTATTTCTTTACTTTGATCTATGTAATGTAACAGTTTAAATTAGGATTTACCTATCTACTTTGTTCGTCCCACCAGAATTCATGGGAGTCAACTTTGAAAACCTTTGGGGCAGTGCCCCATCCATTATCTCTGGATTATTTCTCACTCTGTTAGTCTGTATTTTTTGCCTGGCTGAGAACTTCTAGTTCTAGCTCTTATTTTGGATAATTTTATTTCGATGAGCCTAAAATTTCTTTTTAACACAAACAATCAAGCGAACTTGATGTGAAAATAGTAGTTAAATCTGTGTATACTATTTATGGGAGTACTTGGTTCATTGGGCGCTATGCAATTACCCTTATGTCATGTAAAATTGATGGTTCCAGTGCTTTTGATCATGTTAATCCAATTATGATTTATTCTTTCTTCCATCAGTTTTCTTAAAATAAAAGTATAGTAGATTGCTAGTATCATCCAGAACTTCAGATCTTTTTTAGTGCACATTGTGCTTATTCCACATAATGCGGTGTCTACCTTGCAACTTGCTACACATGCCAGTTGCTATGACACTTGCCAGAAGCTGAATGATATTGTGGGCTTTATGCATGTCTCTTTTGAAGATTGCAATGAGCAGGAGGCTTGGTATTGAAGAACCTCAGTTAATGAAGATAATTAGAACAACACTTCACACGCACAGCGAATGGTTTAAGCTTCAGATGTGCAAGGACCGTTTTGAGCACTTTTTGAAGATTGATTCTCTAAAAGAGGTTGATCCATCTGCGGGGAGTCACAATATGTCCAAGGTTCTTACAGATGAATGTGCTAATGGATCTTCTCAAATCACAACATGCTCTAGTGGCAAGGTGCTAGATGAAGGTAGTAGCCCTCAGGAGTCATCAGAAGTTACCTGTGATGAAAACGCCATACTCAAGGTCATGGTAAGTAACATATTCTTTTGGGTGCTTTTGTTTGTTTGACACACACCATGTATATAAATCTTAGGATAAACTTTGGTATAAACACTTGCTAAATATTCCTTCTCAGCCTTCCGCCACTTTACACTATTTTCAATTTGGCATTAATTTGTGGTTAATCCTGTAATACCTGATAATAATCTAAGCTAGCTAGGGACTAGTTCAGATTTTGATTATCTAAAACTGAATATATTCAGAGTAGAATATATTCATAGGCATTGTCAGAATATGTTTTACTCCCAGGTTTGGCATGGGATCAATAACTTGCACATGTAAACTTATAAGGAATTAATCAAATATATTTTACATATTTTTCATTCTTTTATCTTTTCTTTTAGGAATTTCTTGCTTTGCCAAGGGCTGACGCGATCCAACTGCTTATGCAATATGGTGGGAATGCCGAGGAAGTCATCCAACAGATCTTTTCGTAGTGCTTTGTGTAAATATCAGATACGTTTCATTTGTTTTAGAAATCAATTATTTGTTCATACTTTTCTTGTATATGAAGTTCTATTGGAACTAGGTTTCTGGTCCCAGTACCTTTGTCCACTACGTTTTCTTCCATGTAATACAGAAACAAAGATGAAAAAATAATCCGGTTCACACTTCTCATCCAAGGCATGAAAGGATTGCGTCGCAGCAGTAAATCATGATCGTTGCAATGAGGATCACCAAAGCTTTGCCTTTATGTTTTGTGCATCAGCAATTAGGCTATGAGAATACATGTGTATTGCCTGTGTTGCATACTTGCATCTTGTAAAATCTGTAACAATATGATTATTAGCACTATGGCAGTAATATGATGTTTTACTGGAACTGGATTTTCCTGTTCTTTTTGGTGGATTTACGGAATTATATTCTTGTGGGCTTGTAGGTGTTCCAATGCGCAAGATGGGAAATCCGTTCGCATAATTTTGTTGCTGGTCTTAAAGTGGAATTAATCCAACGGCCTTGGAAATGAGGGCAAGTTTGTGGTGATACATATTGCGACGTGATGAGAATGGTGCCCTATCCTTTTTTCAGCAACTTAAATGGTATATATGCTAGTTTGGATTTAAGACAAACAATTGGTAGCAGTGCCAATGCTCCGTTTAGTCACTCGAGAAGTTTCTTCACCGTAACACTACATTTTGAGTCCATGTTGGTAGCAAACCAAACATAAAGGTATATAATTTTGCCCAAAAAAAAAGGCCAATGAATTGGTAGGGCTGGTACTTGGTAGGGTAACTAGACCAAATAGGCATGACAAGCCTAAGGCAAATCTTGTAGGAAGTAGAAACACAACCATTTCCAAAAAAAAAAAGAAAAAAAAAGAAAAAAAAAGAAGTGTGGTATTCTTTTTACATGATTTATAGAGGTACGCCTAAAAGCTTAAGCCCTGGCCTGATTCCTCGTTTGCTTGTGGGGCTTCTTCTTATATATGGTTTACAGTAAATCACCTGATAAATCTTATATAACGAGTACCTACGCGCAATTGCCCGTCCGTCACCACCTCGTCACTCCGGCAGGCGACGACATGGGCTTCGTGTGGCTGCGGCGGTTTCGCGCGATGGCAGCGGCGGCGTACTCAGTAGCTCTGTGTGCAGTTTTCATGGCGGTGACCACGGCGCGACAGCCTCGGGCAGCCTAGTGACAATGAAAAGGGGATTATGGTGCTAATGCAAAGCGTTGCCGCGCCTGGAGCCTCTCCTGGCACAGGCTAATCTCATGCCTGAGTTGCATCAGGCCAGACGAGGTGGAAGGTGGAAGGAGACTCAGGGTAGCAACCGAACACTTATAAAATAGTCTCAGGCATGTCTCCGGCCAGACGACTTTTTCTCAGGGTAGTAACAAACAGGCCCTAAAACCAGGAGGATGAATCGTTTATTAGTTTTCATTCAATCCCATGCCACGTCGACCGCTCAGCACTCAGCAGCCCGCGTCCCCCTTCTGAATTGGGGCCGGGTCCACAACACTTGAGCAAGTTAATAGTAGCTGACTAATGGCTCCTAAAATAGCCATATCAGCATATTAGAGATAGTGCTAAAATTAGCTTATACAATAAGCACCAACTCTTTTCTTTTCTTTTCAATCTTTATTTTCCCCATCCAACGTGTCTTCTAGCTCGTTGCCGGCTCGCTGCCTTTCTTCCACCACCTGCATGATTTGGCGCTGCCACGTGCCTACATACTACATAGGCAGCCTAGTGAGGATGGATCAGCTCTCTCTGGCTACGAGCAGAGTGCAGAGCCGGCGTCAGTTGCTACTTTCTCCGTTTCAAAATATAGCTATCTAGACCGAGTTTAGTTTCAAATTTTTTCTTCAAACTTTCAACTTTTTTATCACATTAAAACTTTTCTACACACAAACTTTCAACTTTTCCGTCACACATTCCAATTTCAACCAAACTTTTAATTTTGACATGAACTGAATACACCCATAATATAGTAGTATAGGATGTGATATTAACTAGTACGATGAATGACAGCCCGCTACATTTTGCTAGCGGGAGTGCCGGCGCCTGCCATCTTCAAGCTTTCTCACATCGCCATCGAGCTTTGCCCCGTCGAGCTGCTTCATCCCTAAGCTCCCAACGCCATGGTTGCCGGCCATCGTCGAACTGCCCCTGCAGGCCATCGCTCCGTCTTGCCGTTCATGTGGACCCCGTAACCACCACGTGAGCCAGTAGGGAGGAGACCTGTGCAGCTTTGCTCATCTTAGAGCGCGTGTGCAGTCAATCGCCGGCTCACACCCTCTCTTCTCTCCCGCTCATCGAAAAAATCACTGTTATCGCAGGCTTAAGTACCTTATTCTACCTGCTCTTAAGGCTGTGTTATTTCCCTCTTTTTCCAACTTATCTGCTTCTTTTTTTTCACGCACACGCTTTTTTAAACTGCTAAACGGTGCGTTTTTTACAAAAGGTTTCCATAGGAAAATTGTTTTAAAACATTATATTAATCACTTTTTAAAGCTTTTTTTGGCTAATACTTAATTAATCGTGAGTTAATGGGTAATCCCAACCCAGAAACTATAAAGTAGTTTTCATACTTGCCATATCATATAGACACTATGTATAAAACTATGGCCCTGTTTGGAGGAGCTTCTAACCGTTGTAGCTTCTCCCAAAATCATAAGTTCCTCCAAACAGTCCAGCTTTCGGTCCAGAGTCTGAGAAACTGTAGTTGTAGAATCTAGAAAATGAACTTCTAACTGCTGCAGTTTCTCCCAGAATCAGAAGCTCCCCCAAATAATAAAGCTTTTGGTCCAGATTCTGTGAAGCTATAGTTGTAGAATCCAGAAAATAAACTAGGAGTCAAAAGCTAGGAAACCTAGCTTTTCCAGATTCTCAGAAGCTAGCTACCAACCAGCTGCTTCTCAAAATCTTAAGCTCCCCCAAACATGCCCTAGAAGCCAGAAGTTGGGAAATCAAACTTTTCCAGATTTTTAGAAGCTGGCTACAAACCAGCTGCTTCTCAGAATCTTAAGCTCCGGCCTAAACAGGCCTTATACACCCAATGGATAGTGTCTTCAAATTAAATTCTCATCCAATCACCTCTTTGGTCTCTCATTTTATTTACCTATCCCCTTGTTTTAATTCTTGGTTAATGTGTAGAGATGTTTATCTTTTTACCTCCCAACTTATTAACTCTCTTATCGCATCATATTTTTTCTTATGTGACAATGAATTTAATGTTATGGACATTAGCTGAGATGGAGGGTTTGCACTAGCCTAAGTCGACTTAGGTAAAGCCTACAGCCCAGTTTTGATATTGGCGTCAGCCCTCTTTTTTAGCAAGTTACTGCCTCCGTCTAGAAATGTATATAGCTACGAATAAAAATTGTCTGAGATATACTCCATTTTCTGACATAGATTCATTCTGCAACTCTCGCACTATGCTCACAGAAAATATGTCTGTCCTAAGACACTTAAAATATACTAGATGATGGGGCGCGCCAATGACGCGCCGCCTGTACACAATTGTGCAAACATGTAGATTTCATATATTATACATTTATACAAGGCTAGAGACAAAGGATCATTCACTAATTTGTGCTTGACTTATTGAAGAACATATACATACAAAGCCAACATATACATACAAAGCCAACAGTGGTATCATCTAGTCAATGGATTTACAGTTAGTTGCGAATACTCTTTAGATGAGAGACTCCTTGTTGAGTATTTGCCATGATTTATTTAACCTATACGCCAGGAAAAATAGTTCAGCTCTAAAATAACACATGTAAATTGAAGGATAAAAATAAGTGCACAACACAAACATCATACCAGTGGAGCCTCCTTGTGACTGATCAGTTTCTTCAGTATTAAACACTTCAATCTAACAAGGAAATGCAGCCAAGTTAATTTTATTTGACTCACATTTACTCAACCTCAAAAGCTGTTTTTTAACCGGAGTTTCTTTTTTACACTAAGAGCCCATGCCCCAATATTTTTTTCCTTAAATAATTATGTATTTAGATCTGCGAAAAAGAATAATAACAAGCCCATTGCACCAGTGCTACATTGGCTAGCTAAGTTTGTAACATGAAAATGCACTCGCATATCCCGAAGGTTTATAACAAGTTGTTCTCTTCACAATTCCAGCAATCAACATTTCCTCTAATTTCACCACAGCTTCACCACACGAATGGCAGAATTATCATCTTCATATATCAGTAAGCAGCCCACACGTGTGTGTGCTTGCTTCAAGCATTACATAGAAAATTCTCAGTTAACATTCTTACGACAAAATCACTCCTCTTTTTTAGTAAAGTCAACCAGAGACTATAACTGTGGTTTTACGTCTAAACCTAACTGCTTTCGAATTTTCTTTGCGACTACTTTTTTCCCCTTGTCATGCACCAGTTTTTTTTCCCTGACAGGTGGTTCCTCTTTCAAAAGCAGAATAACTGAATGATGCCTACATTGACATACTGCCAGAATCCTCTCTGATGGTACTAACCCTGTCCAACAGGACCAACCCATACTCCCATTTTTACAGAATAACCCTTTCTGCATCTCTATCAGTGTACCACATTTACACTAACAACATGAGCCTAAAACGAACGCCCAACATCAATTTTGGCAATTGGCATGACCCTATGGGGACGAACGGCCCACATAGGCGGAGCAACATTCTAAAGACGAAGTATAATTATGGTACACTAAAGACAATTCTATCAATCAGATATATGTCATCTCCTCTTCTGGCAGTTTATTAATCTCTCCTGTGCATGCCACTTCCAAACAATCACCTGGAAATAGCATACAGAAAATGGTACTGTAAACATGCAAGTTATTGTCATCATCAGAATTTTCCCCAAAAAAAAAAAATCAAACTTTGACTTCCTTAAAAATTTGAAGTACAGTTGAGAATATTAATCATCATTCACTATGACAACAATCACAACATTTATTTTCATCTCTTGCTTCAGTACATCTTACAAGCGAGTTCTTCTTTGTTGGCTTTTCTTCTGTTCATTCTACAGTCCAATTTAGATTTTTGTTTTAGCCATACATACATATCTATAGATACACTATACATGCAAGTTTATCCATTATTTGAAAATGAATGATTAGATCCACATAATCAAGTCATATCATCAGTATCTTATTTGCTAAGATGAAAATAAAAAGAGAATAAATACAGAAGTAATGCACCTGTAGTAAAAATAAAGCACTACTTTATTTAGCAGGACAGGGTTCTACATTTTGAATTCGCTGCCCTATCTGATTTTCCGTGGCTAACACTGATAGAAGAAATATTAGCTATTCACCGAAGAATAAATGTAGCGGATATGTTGATGGTTCATCCTTCCAAACCCCATTTTCAGACGAACATGTTCACATGCAACAGAGTGGCACAAAACAAAAACCAGGATGCAGAATTCAGCATTAACCCTAGAATGGATAATATCTGGTGCCATATTATCTCTGCAGGCAATCTAAACTTGATTTGGGACAACCAGAAAGAGTACCTCGGATGGGTGAGTAGTAAGAGAATTCAATAGTAGGTGCGAACTCATTCGCGCGCCTGAAAGGATCACAGATTGTGGAAGAATAATCAATATGTGACTTTTCATGTAAGTTGTTTTGGCCATAACTGGAAGACGCAGATAATACAGTTAGCGAGAGCATTCTTCCAATCTAGCCAATCCAAAGCAAACTCGTGCATCACTGTACGATTAAAATCGAGTAAATGAAAATTTAATTTAATCCGTTGGTGTTCGAGAGTGGTTCTTGCAAGAGTGGAGAAATATCCTTGCAAGAGTGGTCCTTTCTAACTACAGTTCTGGCACACAGACCGCATAATAACATAAAGGAAAAAGTACGAATTACCCCCCCGAACTATCGTGGTCGTCCGAATTACCCCCCTGAACCACAAAACCGGACATTCTTCACCCCCAACTATGCAAACCGGACGAATTACCCCCCTCGACCCAATCCGCGGTGGTTTTGGTCTACGTGGCGTACGCGTGGCAATTCAGTCAGCAACTTATTTATTAAAAAATAGGTGGGCCCCACCTGTCAGTTTCTCTCTCTTCTATCTCTTCTATCCCTCACTGTCTCTCTCTCTTCTCCTTCAGAGTTCAAACGGCGACGGCAGAGGCAGCGAGCGCGGGCAGCGGCGAGGTGAGGCGAGGCGGCAGCCGCCAGGGGGCTCCGCGCCGCGGCCGCGTCGACCTCGGGGGCCTCCTGGTGGATGGCGGCGGCGCGAGACGAGGGAGCGGCGGACGGGCGGACGGCGGCGCGCGGGGCCGGGCGGTGGGCAGGTGGCGGCGCGAGACGAGTGGACGGGCGCTGGACGGCATACGGCTGCATGCAGCGGCGGAGGTGTCGGTGGATGGCGGCGGCGCGAGAAGAGGGAGCGGCGGATGGGCAGACGGCGGCGTGCGGGGCAGGGCGGTGGGCAGCGGCGAGAGACGAGGCAGCGGCGCAAGACGAGGCAGCGGCGCGAGACGAGGAGGCGGGCGCTGACGGCGGACGACTGCATGCGGCGACGGCGAGTACAACCGCCGCCGCTGCCGTGGCCGGAATCCCGGGGTTCCTCTTCGCCACCATCCCGGACGGCCTACCGGAGTCCGACGCCGACGCCACCATGACTACCTGCCTCCCCCACTTTAGGAAGCTGCTCGCCGACCTCAACAACCGTGCCGCCAGCGATGACGACGACGACGCCGTGCCGCCGGTCACCTGTGTCGTGGCCGACCACCTCTTGGGCTTCAGCCTCGACGCCTCCGCCGCCGTGCTCGCCTCGCGCTGCCGCCCACCGCCCACCCCTGCACGCCGCCGTCCACCACCCCGCCCCCGCCTCGCCTCACGCCTCCGCCCACCGCCCGCCCGCCGCCGCCGCTCGCGCTACCGCCCATGCAAACAGTCATACAACAAACATACCAAAAATGGCATGTAGATAGTAGAGCATCGAAGCAGTAGTAGGTCACACGGTGAGGGCTGGCCGATATTGGTGGCACTCTTGCAGTGTGGGCACAGAGAGCGAACCAAGTAACATAAGAAGAACCTCTCTCCACCTTTCTTCAGTTACTGGTTATGTCTGAAAACATTGAATCAGTTTGAGAGCAGTGTTCTTGGCGCGAGAGAGCTACATGAGCACCTGCATTTTTTTCTGATAGTAATTTCGAAAACAAAAGAACTGGAAGGAGAAGAACTGAACCTTTTCTTGAGATTCTTAACTGCAGCATTTTGCTAATCTGAACCAATGCCAAAAGGAAAAGAACATCTCCACCTTTCTTCAGTTACCGGTCATGTCTGAAAACATTTAATCAGTTTGAGAGCAGTGTTCTTGGCCAGAGAGAGCTACATGAGCACCTGCATTTTTTTCTGATAGTAATTTCGAAAACAAAAGAACTGGAAGGAGAAGAACTGAACCTTTTCTTGAGCTTCTTAACTGCAGCATTTTGCTAATCTGAACCAATGCCAAAAGGAAAAGAACAGGAAGGCAATTACAGATCGTAGTTCCACACCCTTGTGTAAAAATGAACTGATGAAATGCAACATATCCCATAACAATGAAGGCATGAAAATAGAGAGCATACCAAATTTTGGTGAGGATGCAAGCTACGATAGATATACAAAACGCAAAAATTACCGGAATCGCCGAAGCTGCACATGAAGGAAGATTATCAATGGCCCAACAGTAACAAATAGGATAATAGTCATAAAACTGTGGAAGAATTACTTTTTCTTGACTTGAAACCTGGTGATTAGAAAGATACGTTTCAGCTCAAAGTTTTACTTATATAAGATGTAATTTCAGACTATCAAATAAATGTTTTACCGAAAATGCATGTGTTTGCACAGAAATATAAATTCTGCACCCTTATAATGTTATTCACTAATGAAAATAAACACACATTAAGCAATTCACTTATTGCAGAAACGCATGCAATTTCCTAGGTTTGAAATAGGGCAGAGTAAAGGTGATAATCCTCTATAAAGTTTATATTTGCATAGTCAAGAAAAATAATCTAAATGATTCACAAACTTAATTGCATTCAATAAGAACGTATGAATGATTAGACATACTTTTAAGTATTTTAAAAGTAAATAACTTCCACTCATCGAAGTCCTCTAATTGTAAAAGGGTTCCATGTATTGCTGTGATACAATACTTTTAAGACCGCAATTCAGGGGAAGAGTCCTTTGTTTGGGACATGGCATGCATGATTATTTAATTCATATTTCAGTATAATTTCAGAGGAATAGATGGGCAGTTACCTATTTCATACATTCAGTTCAACAAGTGTATTCAGAAATCACATGGGTTTGAGAAAGTCTTAAAAACATGGGTTTGATTAATTCAGAGATATAGAGAACATTTTATATAAAATGGCAAAAATAATACAATCATATGTATACTTCTGAACCATATGAATCTCTCGAGTCCTATTGCAACGCATTTTGTTCTCAAGATTAAATTACCCAAAACCAAATTAAAATAAGACAAGTCACTTCTTATTACAGTATAGAAGAACAAAAAATGAACTCCACTTTGGTTGAGAGCTAACCACATGAAACACAGGTACACAGAAAGCTCACCTATCATTAAAGATGATCGGTGGAAGCAATAGGTTGAGAAGATGTCCTCAGTGAACAGAAGCGTGTGAATTCTTCCCTCAACTGGCAAACAGAATCACACCTCCAGTGATCAGCCCCTGCAAGCACCATATCGCAAAGCAAAATTCAAACTACTACATAAGGCAAAACCACAAACACCTGGAGTGCAACGCCACAGAGTTTACACGCTGGTTTCTTTCTAGCAGATGCCCATTGGTAACAATTTCATCCCCTATAACGAATAATAGGTCACAACACTGGTTAAAATTGAGTCACTGAACGTTCCTTATCAAAAGAAAATGTATTACTGCTTGGTCTTCCCACAGCCTAGAGTTGCCTCATGGTGTATATTACAAAAACCTAACAGAATCACAACTAAAACTATCTTCGCTAATTAGAGCAAGAGATATCTAAGTTTAGACTGGAAAATTCTACAAATAAACTCAGAGTGAGGTGTTTAATAACAAAATGCAGTAAGTTCAATCAGAGGGCAGTAGTTCAAACCTGCAATTTGAAATGCCTTTTTTCAGTGATACCTTCCAAAACAATTAATTTTTGCACAAATGCAGCATATCTATGTTATAAAAGCATATTACCATCAGCACAACCAAAAAATAGAACAGAGGCATTTTTTTTTATTTTGACAGTGAATATGAAAAATAGGACACATCAGTGCCCCTAGGATACATTCATTACTGGGCCTAAATGCATTAGTTGTCAGGAGGTAATGTATTATTTTTTAGTAAATCTCAAAGCTAACAGGAAACTAAATCTTAAATTGGTTACATGGCTGTTGTATTTGTCAATAATAAAAATAAGGCAAAACAAGTTAAAATGGATGTGGCAAACAATGCTAGGATGAATAAATCAAAGAAACTAATCCATACAAAGCGAGGCAAAATAAAACAACCTACATAAGCATGTTCTTGTTGATAGCACTGACGGAAGCCTGCAGCTATGGCTGCAGATTGGCCCTGTAGAACCAATATTGGTTGTTCTCCCTAGAACTGCAGATTAAAAACATACTTCTAGCTTACTAATGGACATGCACCTAGAAGACAACCAGGATCAAGAACATCTATTTAGCATAATATGCTTCCAAGAACATGTTCATTTGTACATACAAAACTACTAAAAATTTTATTTACCATATACGGTACCTAGCACCAATTAAATGGCAAGGCATAAATTTTGAATGAAAAGTACGCAAACTACAATATATTTCCATTTAATATTTTTAACATTACCAGTCCTTTAGCATTTTCAATGAACAGATAGACTAATTGTGTAGATTCATAGTTTTTTCCATAGCTTGTAACTCCTCTGGTCATGGCCACTAATTTCAAAAGAGATATTTGTAAATCCTGGTCGAATTGTGATCCTGTGAAACTACTACTAAAAACAGATCTGCGCATATGATTTTCATCCAATGAATATTTTGCATAACCAGAGCAATGAAATCAATACACATTTCCACTCGATTTCAAAGCTTTCAGTTGGGAGCAGTGCAGTACAACCAGAGTAGTGAGAGAGGGATGCAGAGGAGACATGACTTATACCTTACAGCCGGCGGCTCAGCTAGGTTGCACATGGCCTGAAAAAGACGACGTTTTTAGCCAGAAAAAGATGCATAAGCCGTCATTTACATAGTAATATGTATTATGTGCATGCTATTAAGAAAAAGTATTCCTTTGTTTTCTTACTCCCTGAGTTCTGTTGCATGCCAATCTCTGGAGGGATGACATCAAACTGTGCAAGAACAAAATAACCATTAAGCATGAAAAAGTCTTTGATAAGGGGTTAAGTTGTCTGAAATTTTATTAAGATTGTCAGGGTCTTTTTATTAGTCGGGGTAAAGCTACTGAATTTGGGTAATGTTGGTAACAGGCCAAGGTGGTTGAAATACTTGCAACAAACAAAAAAAAAAATACTACAGCTAACTGATATTGACAATGAAAATACAGGAGCATGAACAAATTTGACCAGTGAAAACATAAACTGAATAATAAATTCATTATCTGTCTTGCAGACAGCAGCATCACACACTCCATCTTACCATGTGGCATGTTTCATCGTATTTAGCTATATATGTGTTTTTATGCATCTATGGGCAAATCCAGGATGCTCCCTCTCATTATATCTAACTCTTGACACAAGTGAGACATGAACATACCTGATCTTCAAGGAACAATCGTGGTGGAGTGCACCATGAACCACGATGAAGCGGACCAAAAAACTTGCAGTGCTAAATCCAGTAACAGAGCTAATAATACACATCTACGGACTTTGGTGCCCAGCAATCTCTTCCTGTTGATCCTCGTCTTGCTCTCTTAAAGCTATGATGTAATCATACGTACTAATATCCTAGATAAATATAAAAACATGGGAGTGATTTAATTTACAGTTATACAGGGAAGAAGAAAATAAAGTTTAGGTGCACATAGATGAACTATGTGATAGTTCGCGATGGATAGAAGGAAATGGAAACTCAAGTTTCATTATAACAATGGTGGCCAGACATACCACTTTTTGGAGCAGTTTAATAAAAGAAAATAATATGGAAAAAGAGTTAAATTACAAGTCCCACTAACCCATATCTATGTGATATTCACAACATCAAAAAAAGCTAAAAGAAAACTTGCCTTCTTGATAAGAAGAATATGGAAACACAAAAGGTAAGCAAGTGGCATAGTTGCAATCATTGCTAGTACGGTGCAGGTGGCCCGCAAAAGTCAAATCATATTGGCATTGTAAATTTTTCTAAGGGTGTGTTTAGTTCACACCAAACTTCCCCCCAACTCCCAACTTTTCATCACATCACATCACATCCAAAACTTTCCTACACACATAAACTCCCAACTTTTTTTCCAAACTACCAACTTCCCCCAAACTTCTCCCCAATTTCAGGAACTAAACACGGCTTAAGTAGGATCATGATAGAAAATAATAAATGTAACCAGTAAATTTTCTTGTAGCGTTTTGTGCAGCCATCACACATTAGAAAGGAAAAATTCTATCAAAACTCACCACAACAATTATAAACACTACAGTTGAGAAGGTACTTCCTAACTTGTAAACAATCTGTCTGGAGAACTCCCCTCGCTCCACAATGCAGAGAATCAGCACAAGGGCTCCTGACAGCCACTGCATTACAAGCTGGTCCAAGGTGTACAAACCATGGAAACCTGTCAATAATCAACCAGAATTACAGGGGCATGGAAAGAAAAGAATGCTAACTGCATGCAATAGCCACTTAATTACATGATGGTTTCAGCTCAAATAAGGGCCAATATAATTATGCAAGCACTATTGCAAGGTTAGCTGTCATATCTATGGTATTATTACATCCTTGTAAGCCCATGGAGGAATGTCCACTTACAAGGAGTACAGCAAGTCATTAGAACGAAGAACCCTTTGTAGTTCCTTTTCCCTGTGCAATTGTTGAGTCACTACGAGAGGACAATGTAATTAGAAAAAATAAATACATTTCATTGTTAAAAGAACTGAGGGTATAGCTATTAGAGGAAAGACAAAAGAAGTGTATCATACTCTGCAATGATGATCAACGCCATCGACACACTTGTCACATACTCTACAATGCTTACTGTTCTTCACTCTTCAGGACCAGCCTATTACATAGTCTTAGCAGCATGTATCACCCATAAGATAGTGCAATCACTGAAGATACCATCAAATGTTTTGACAGGCCAAAATCATTAGCATTCAGCATTTAGAAAGCTTGCACCGGCTCTTTCATACTTTTCAACACACAACTATAAAACATGTAGAACCAGAAAGTGCTGGTATGAACAATTTGGAAGTAAACATTGTTTGCATAGATAAAGTAATTGATTTGATTATTTTGGGAGTACGCATATGCACAGCACGTGGACAATCATTTATAATTTGGAATTACATGAATATTTGATACTAATAACAATCATGATTCTTGTATGAATGCAATCTAGTTAACCATAGTTGTTTCTAAATTACATTGATTATTCTGATACTCCTACTGGCTTATATTTACCAGCACATGTCACACTATAATCTAAAGTACTGACACATCATTAAAAGAGACCAGTGCAACAAATGGAGCTTGTGGCCAATAACCCCAATAACCTTAGAAAATTAAAATTTCTGAACATCAGTTGATCATACCTCTGCTTCGCACACAAGCTGAAGAAGAACATTCCTTCTTCACTCATGTGCTGTTCAGATGACTGATGATCCGCATGGAAGCATCTTTTGCAAAGGCAGGAAAAGGGGAAACAAAGTATTTCAGAAAATGTGGGCTAGGAATGTGAATCTTTTAGCTCAAGCATGTTGCTCAATTTCTCGCTGTTATAAACAGCATTAAATCCATCACTTGACATTTTTCCTCCTTGACTTAACCCATGATCTGAATTTTTCTGGGATCGCCTTCCATCCTTGTTCAATTTTGGATGCTCTGCCGACTTGAAAATGCCAGGGTCACCAGGATTTGCAGCAACACACCAAATGCATAACACGACAACAGATGTAATCTGCAATGAGAAGTTATGCATTACTCAACAGAAAATTGCTCTATCACTACCAGTACAATAGAACCATGTTCCCGAGAAGTTCATGCAAAATTGGGAGAGGTCAATTTATGAAGGCTGTGTTCAAAATATTGGTGCGAAATCTATGACTCGCGAAAACTAAATGTTTCATCATACACAATTTTTCCCTTCAAAACTACTTTTTCTTTCTTTTTATAAACTTTTATACACATAAATGCGAATATGAAACACAAAATGAAAGTTCCCCATTCTTATCTTTCCAAAAATTACTCCCTTTCTTGTCTGCAAAAAGCAGTTACATAGTAAATACTTATTTCTCAAGGGAATTTCATCGAGCAGCTAGTATATACACGAATCAAGACATTACCTGAGGAGTAAAATGGCAGGTGGAAAGGAATATCATCCGACAAGTTATTTCCCAACAAATGATTGTACCTGCATGAACCAAATTATTTTCTTGGCCCCAAAAATTATCTAAGCATTCTGTACCAAGCAAAAGAACAAATAAAGTGGATTGAAAGGATCGTGTGAGGGGAAAAGAGACTATAAAAGATTGCATTAACTGACCGACAGTGAAGATTGAATCCTCCAAGCGCTGAAACTACTGCTGGTCACAATAGTGAAATTTCTCTCGACAGCTCCACCCACGAGGACACAGGTCTTCCCCGCCCACAACTGTTGTGCAACTTCATCTCCAAAAGCCATGGCTCTCCTATGAACCACGCTGCCTACGCCGAGAAGACGCTGTCGTCGTCGAGAAGATGTCGCCGCCGCCGGAAAGATGCAGCCGTGCCTATGCTCGTCGCGGGGAGAGCGGCAGCGAAGTGGGATCCGGACGGGGGCGGTCAGAGGAAGAGGGAGAGGGAGAGTGAGAGGGTGAGGCGAGGAGGGGACGCGGGCGGTCAGATCCGCATGCCCCGACAACACGGAGGCCGGATCCAGACGTCGACCGTCGAAGGCAGCCGGACCCGGCGGTCGGCAGCACCGACGTGAGGCGGAGGCGGCGCGCTCGGTGACGGCGACGGCGTGCTGCGAGGGGAAGGCGGCCGGATCGGGACGCCGGCGGCCGGAAGTGGCGGTTGGCAGCGGCGGCGCTCGACGACGGCGGTGGCTAAGGCGGAGATGGCGGCTCGCCTCGCTGACGGCGACGCGACAGCGGCGGAGGTGGACGCGGCGGCCGTGGCCGCGGTGGACGCGGCGGCGCGAGGGCAAGGCGGAGGCGGCGCGTGCCGGCGACGGCGGGAGAGGGGGAAGGAGAGACGAGTGGGAGAAGGGGGCAGCGGCGGCTAGGGGTGAGGGGGTTAGGGTTAGTGGGCGTCATCTTGGGAAAAAGCCCCTCGCCTTCCACATTTCAGTGCGCGGTCCTAATTCGCAATTTTTCTCTCCTCCACACTGAATATCCGGATTTTATAAGGTCCTACACATAAAATAACGTCTTAGAGATACTATTTGCGAGGGACCTAGATCGAATTACACAAAATGAAGGGCTTTTTCGAAAAATCATCACCGCGGGCACTGTATTACTGTAGCAAAACGCCCGACGTGGCATAGCCGAGCCGGCGCCCCTTCGGCCACACTTATTGTTGAGCAAGGCATCAAACGTCCCTCGGAGCACATGCATACATGTCTATTTAACGTTTACAAAAGTTATTGTTATTAACGTCCGGTGACATGCGCATAGATATCCATACATGCAAGCTGAGGCCACAAACACAACCTACGACCATATATGTGTAGGCAAGCTAGTTAGCTTAACATGATTATAAATCGTAATGGCTTATGAATGAAAAAAAAAAGTTATGAGTAAACGTGCCTTTCATAGCATATATGTGTTCTTATCGGTTTAAAAGCTAATGTTGTATCATAAACAACGATGAAAAACAACTCCAAATGTACATCACCTATACCCATATAAAAATGTATTTGTGTACAAAGTAATGTTCAATAATGGATTCTAAATTAGTAGTAAAATGTTTCAGGATAAATCTCCAATCCAACAAGGAGTATATGAAAAGGATTGTCCGATCTCCTCTCCAGAGCCTATACATAATGTACCCAAGAATTCAAACTTTGAGTTAGGTAAATGGTAAGCCCATACTCTGTCCAAATATTTGTTGAACAAGAAGATGTGATCTCTCTAAAAGGATGGAGTGCAAGGATGCAAGTATGTCCATTCATGTCCCATCCTACCATATCTTCAGTGTAAAGGATGCTATCATCCTCAGAGTCCCAACCAGTAGATTCCTCTTGTGATATTTCTCTATCATTCTTGGCGTCATCGCAATACATATCATGTTCGATCCATGGCCTAACAGCTTCAGGATTCCAGCGGAAATCTGCCATGATCTGGTCAAGACTGACATCGTGTATCAACATCCACTCCAAGTGGTAACCACCACCATGCAGTTCGTGCAGCTGCCAAACCTGAAGACGCTGATGTTGTTTGAGATCAATTGATGCGCAGTATACCCCATTCTTTGTTCTTCCAAGGTAGATACAAGGATTATTGTTCAGATTGATATCACTTGGTGATTTGATCACTTGATACTTATCATCGGACAAGGTTATTCTGCAAAACCCACAAAATTGGCAAATAATATATTAACGTTATTCTTTCTTTCTTTCTTTCTTTCTTTCTTTCTTTCTGTCAGTAAGAACAGATGATTTGGCTACGTACCCATATGTCACACCCGAAGTTTTCCTTTCCCTTAGGTTCCAAGTCACTAATAAATGGCTTCAAGAAATTGCTTTGGTTAACCAGGAGAAAACCCCAATTAACAATGCATTTAATAATCGAAAATGCCATGGATATTTTTTCTCGAATTCTTTTTCTCTGAAAATCACTAACTTGACTTAAAATGTAAATATCATATCACCGAAGGCAATGTTGCTAAGTTAAAAGTGTCAAGATAATAATTTCTTCCTTTGCATTTGGTCGTGAATTGTGCCCAATTCATTCCCCTCTCAGTCCGCGGTTTCGTTTTGCATGGCGAACCGTATCTGTTTTAGTTCGCGGGACCGTTTCATTTCTTTTCCTAAAACTGCACCACATTGTTTTTCCTTTTTGGGAAAGTCCTAGTCTCCCCCTTGTTTCCTTTTCCCTCCCCCTCTCCAGCCGGCCGTGCCCTCCCCCTCTCCCCCGCGCGCACGCCCTCCCCCTCTCCCCCTTTGAGTCGGACTCCCTCCCCTCCTCCTAATCCTACTCCCTCTAGGACTCCTCCCTTCCTAATCTAGTCCTCCCCTATTTAAGTGTTTCCCCCTGTTTTTCCTTCTTTTTCCGCCCGAGCCGCCACGCCGCCGCCGCCCTAGCTTGCTGCCACCACCGCCCTAGCTACCTGCTGCCGCCGCCCTAGTTGCCACGCCGCCGTCCTAGCACCGTGCCGCCGCCGTCGTCTCCGCCGTCATCGCCCTCGCGTCGCTGGTAATCCGTTTTCCCTCTTAAGTGGATTGGTTGAACCCAATGTCAATTATCTCCCCGTCTAACCTAGCCGCTGTGTCCTCTCTAGCGCCACCGTCGTCGTCGATCTTGTGCTTGCCGCCGGACTGCCGCCGCTGCCGTCGTGTTCCCTTGCCTATTTTGTTCCCCGGTGAGAACCTCCCTCTTGTTTTTAGGGTTTTGTTCCCGTGTGTCGTACTTAGCCGAGTCGTCATCCTAGTCGCCGCTGCCACATGCCGCCCTAGCCGCGCTGCTGCGCTGCTGCCGCCGAGCCGCCGAGCTGCCATTGTTGCTGCTGAGCCGCAGTCGCCTAGCCGCTGTCGTGCCAAGCCGCCGCGCCGCCGACGCTGCCGAGCTGCCGCTACCGCCGAGTCGCCGCCGTTGCGCCGAGTGCCTCCGCCGTGCGTCTTTGCCTAGCCGTCGCTTTAGCCTGTTGCTCGGTAGTCAAGTTGTCTAGCCGTAGGTGCAACCCTAGGTTCCTATCAGCCTATCGTTTGTTGTACCGGGGCTTTACCGTGAATCGTGTGTAGCCCGCCGGTTTAGCCGCAGTCGTTGTTGAGTCGTCCGCTCATTCGATCGAACGAGGTGTCGTCCTGTGTCTCGTTCGTTCGTCCATGTTGAATTATCCCTTAGTTTAGATCCGTTCAGAGCCGCCGGTTCCATTCGCCAGTTTCGGTTGAGCATTTGGATGATCCCATGCCACGTATAATTGACTCGTTGAGTCGGTGTCTCGTGAGGCTTGCTTGCTAATGTCAACCTATCCTTTGATCTTATTTCCTCTTGGGCAATAATCTATGTCAATTGATTAATGTTTTTCGGTTATTAGTAATAACACAGATCATCTTGTAAAATTCATATGTAATTCATATGAGCTACGTTTTAACCCATTCAAATTGCAGTAAATTCGTTGGAATGTCAAGAATCCATTAAAATTGGTTTATTTTGCTGTTTCAGTAGCTTTTTAGCTTGTATTTTTTGTGTGCCTTATTTGTCGTTTAGACTCCGGCAACTTGACGCTCCAATTTAATTTGAAGTGGTCGCCGAGGTTCCGTCAACTCAAGAGCAAGCCAAGTCATACAGATATCATTGATCATATTGAGCCTATTTGCAAAATACCTGATTTTTGTCTTAAAATTACATTATTTTATAATGTCATGTGGGATGGAATTTACCCGCACTACGCCCTTTTGAATATCTTGATTCATTGATAGCCTGGGATAATAATTTGACTAGATGATTGGTTTAGGAATGCTTAGCCATGCTTAGATCAACGAGCTCACAATGGGTTCACTATATTTTAGTCCTTAATGTTTATGATGATGTTATACCATCTTGGTATATGGTTAATTAATTAAAATATGTTATATTGGTGGGTCGTGGGTACATGCATGATTTGATTGGTGGTCGTGCCCATGACAATTAAGGACCGGTTCTCGGGAATCCTTGGAAGATATACTCGTACCAACCACATGCCAGATGGGCTCTGTTGACGGTCGTTATCGATCAGTTCTGACCTTCAATATTACCAAAATAGAGGAGAACTAGTGATGCTTGCAATGCATAAATATGTTAGAATAATAATATTCCACTAGTATTAGGTTCACTAACCTTTTGCAGAGAATCACCATAAAGTGGAGGAGAAACGACATCAACTCAAACTGTTGGCGGATGGCATGAGGCCCTTCGACCACATCTGCCGAAACCCGTGGCGAAGGCTATGGAGCAAGAACAGCGTGAGGCGAAGAGTCGTACGAGTGCCTTGCCAGGCCAGAGGCGTCTCGGGCGAAGGGTGCAAGGCGAAGACTATCTGCCGAAGGAAGGCGACTTCGCCTTGGCAAGTTCGCCCCCGCGAGGGCTGAAGAAGCCTTTCCGGCCCATCAAGCCTAGGGGCTATAGGGCCGGCGATCGCCAGACGGCCCATCAGGGGCCCATGAGCCCCTATAACATTATGTACCCCTGTAAATGTCCTTTTTGTAAGGGTAATCATGTAAATTCCCCTGTATAACCTAAACTCTAGTAGTAAGAACCTGTAATGGGGCTATAAATAGTCCCCTAGGGCCATGTAATAGGGGGATCCCAAGCGAAAAATTCAAAATTTAATACACTTCGTTTTCTTCCAACCACCGTTGAGTAAACACGTCTTTCGATGTATGCAGTTGTCATTTCGACAACAGCTGGCGCCGACCGTGGGGACCTCCGAGCGAAACCACTGAGAGTGAATGCCACCGAGGAAGGTCGTGAAGGAGAAGGTTGCTAGGTGGAAGGAAAGCGACGCCGGGCCAGACATGGCCGTCGAGGAGGGAGCAGAGCCTTCGGCGCCCGTGGCCGAAGATGGAGGAGGACCATCTGCTTCCACATCTGCGCCATCACAACCGCCTTCGGCCCCTGCCACCTCTGTGCAAGTGCCGAACGTGGCCGACGTGGCGAAGGCAGCTGCGGCGGCAAGGGCACTCTAGACCAGGGCGGAGATCCTTTCGACAAGCCAACTGGTGGTGCTCCAAGCCGTTGCATCGCAGCCAGCAGCGACCCCAACTGCGCTCGCCGTTACGCAAGCCCAAGTCAGCCTCGACCTTGAAACACAAGCCGAAGCCGACATGGAAGCCATGCGACAGAACATGACACGACTCCAAGACATGCTTCGCCAAATGCAAAACAACAACAAGCATACGAGGCGGCAAGGCGGGCCAAGGTCACGTCGGCTCAGGCGCAACTCCAAGCTTTCCTTCAGCAACTCAACCAACCCCACTACATTTCAAGTACAACCGCATCGGCCCACCCGGAGGGGAATACAAGTCAAGGTGCGCCTAATTGGTTGCCATCGATTCAGCCG